GAGCCTCACGTGAGACCCCAGCCTGGGCCAACACATGACTGCAGCCTTGTAGAGGACCCAGCTGCGCCCAGACTCCTGACCTGTGGAAACTGCAGGATACTAGATGGGTGTGGTTTTAAGCTGCTGAGTTTGTGGTCATTTGTTAGGCAGCAGTAGATGCCTGACACACCGTCCATCACCAGGTCCTCTCAGTTTCATCTTCTGAATGTCTTCTGGATCCACTCCCTGACCCCACCCCCGTCAAGTCTGTGTCACCAAATCACAGCCTCCTGTCAGGCTTCTCTCTTGGGGCTTCTCTCGATCCCTTGTACTTGTCTTTCTCTGTCTTGTCCCAGGGCATTTTCTCAGGTCCCCTGGCTTGAAATGTTCTCCTCGACCCCCTTCTCCTGGGTAAATTCCATTCATTCCTCAGATTTCAGCTGAGTCATCAATTCCTCAGGAAAACCTTTCTTGAGTGCCCCAAGCACCCTTTACAGCTGTTGTCATAGTTACAGTTTTACAGTCGTTTATGTCATCATTTCGTGGATGAACCGTATCTCCCATCAGAATGTGAGCAGGTGGGGGTCAGGAGCCATGTTTGGTCCTACACATAACCGTACCCTGAGCACCTGGCACGTAATAGGTGCTCGTATACGTTGGTTGGATGAATGAACGAGTGAAAGACTATGTCCATTTTTGAAGTTCAAAGTGCATGACACAGCCGTCCTACCTCAGGAATATGAGGAAGGTTGGAGCCAAGAGCGACCCCCCCTGGGTACTTGCTCAGGACTGCCCAAGCCTACTTGACTATTTTGCTCTTAGAAAAAAATCATAACTTCGGATTTTAAGAACTTGAGCTGTCTAGAGACAAGGAAAGGGAGTACCTGATGTTCCAGGATGTTATCAGCTGCCTGTGTGGCCAATGATATTTTCCAGTTTGTGGCCACAATACCTCCCATCCCTCCTGCTCTTCTGAAATGTATCCCTGCCACCTTCCATCGAGAGGTAGGCTGTGAGTCGTCTCCCATGGCCCTGGGTGAACTGTGACAGCTTTGACTGGTAGAGAATGGAAGATGGGCCATTGTATGACTTCCAAGGCTAGGTCCTAAAAGGCCATGCAGCTTCTGCCTGATGCTCTGGAGACACTTGCTGGGGAGTCGGTCAGCGACTAAGGAGTTCAGCTGCTCTGGGGCTACCGTGCTGGAGAAGCCCCAGATGGGCGCTGTATTCAGCGATGCCAGCCGAGCTCCCAGCCAATAGCCAGCCTTGGCTGCCAGCCTCATAGGGTGAGTCATCGAGGACATCCATCCCTGAGGAAGCCTCAGATGACCCCAGCCCCGGCCAATATCTGACTATGACCTCGTGAGAGACCCCAAGCCAGGACTGCCCAGCTGAGCCCTTTGAGAATTCCCAACCCACAGAATCGCAAGCAAAGTAAGCAGTGTTTTTAAGCTGCTAAATTTAGGGGTAATCGATTACACAACAATAATACCAGGAAGAGGAATTTGACGGGGAGTGCTGACACATCAAAAGGCCAAAACGTCACTTCTTGGCCTTTTGGCTAAGGTCAGGTGCAAAAACCCAAAACATAAGGGACTATCTTTGGGACCAGGTCAGCAGGTAACCAGAGGGGCCTGGAGAAGACTGTGGGAGGCCCCCCACCCTGATGGGCCTGGAGGCTGTAATGAGGGCTTAACAAAAAGTGAGGAAGGTGGAGGAAAGAATCCCATTGTTACGTACATTCAGCACAGCCGTTACCCACCATATTGTGGGAAATAGAAAATGTACCCAATGAACTGATGAATCTGGCTAAGGAGATTCCCAGGGAAAACACTGGAAGTGCCAAGTGCACAGACAGCAAGGATCGCGAGTGTCAAGCCCCCGCCCTTGTGGGATTCCTGACCCACAAAATATGAACAAAACGGAGTGATTGTTTTGAGCTGCGAAATGTGGGGGCCCTTACAAGGGCAGCAGTAAAAATTGAACAGCCTGGTAACCACACCTGTTTTGTGCACTGTGACAGACGGCTTGGAAAATGAAAGACGGCTTGGAAACCACAAATAACCGTTGTCTTCCAGGGCAGTGGGAAGGATTTTATAGCAACCCTGGTTTGGGGAAGTTTGAATCAATGTCAGAAAAAGTCTCTCACACTGTGAAAAAGTGATCGATTTTACTATTCCTATTGTGAAGAAGGGGAAGAGCACTTAGAACACCGCGTGCCTGTCGGGGGCCTGTCACTAGTTAGGCGCTTTGCATATGATAATTTGATCTAATCTCTTAACAGCCTTTTGAGGAAAGTAATGTTGCCTGTTGGGGAGGTCTGCAGAGGGCTCCCCTTGAATCTTCAGGTGAGAACCCATGAGCACGAGCACGTGAGTAAGATAAGCGCCTGAGGCTGGGGGAAGGTCAGGAAGGAACAGGGTTAGTAATTCTCGAAGTTCACACCGGGCCAGAAATAGTTCCTGCATCTGCTAGCGGGAGAGGAACATGCTCAAAACACAAGGGACGTGTGTATGTGTGTGTGTGTGTGTGTGTGTGTGTGTGTGTGTGTGTGTGCCTGAGTGCCTGTGTGGAGTGCACAGTAATGGTGAAAGGGCTGGCTGTCAGGGGGCCTGAACTGGATACCTTCTATCTGGGGCCTTTGAAGTCAGGTGTGGGGGCACCTGGGTGGCTCAGCCAGTCGAGCGTCCAACTCTTGATCTTAGCTCAGGTCACGATCCCAGGGTCTTGGGATCAAGCCTTGCATCGGGCTGTGCACTGAGCATGGAGTCCGCTTAAGATTCCCTCTCCCTCTCTTCTCTCCCCCACCCACACACACTCTCTCTCTAAAAGAAAAGAAAAAAAAGTCAGGTGTGATTTTTAGATTCATTTTGGGGTAGAGGGCAGGCACAATGGCATGAATAAGCCCCATGTTCACAGCTCTGTAAGGAATGGAGAGGAGTTGGGTGGGTGGGTGGGTGGGTAGGACTCGAGGTCTCAAGTTAACTTGGGGTCATTTCACAAGGGGTCCTAAACGCCAAAAGGATGACTTTAACTCAGTGGGGGAGCCGCAGACCTTTACACAATTAGAAAAATGTCAGTGTCCTTAGAAGGCAATGGAAGGCACACGCTCTCCTGCTTGCGCCCTCTGTCTGCAGACTGGAGCCATGTCACGGGAGGATAGACCCTTCTTTCAGGGCAGAAGGAAGCCCAGAAGCCTTGTAACCCCACCCACTTCATACTAGAAGGGAAATGTGGCCCACTCGGAACGCCCCTTTTCAGATTCACTCTGTTGGCTTTTCTTCATCTAAACATTGACCTGCCCGAGGGCATGGTGCGGGACCTTCTTCGGTCTGCAATTTATTCACTTCCAAAACCATCTTTATTAGTTCTTTGGCTTTAAATACGTCTGTATTTTGACGGCACACCTGTGCATGTCTCTGGCCTTGGCTTCCTCTCGGAACTCGACATATCCCCGCCTGTCCACTCAGCAGCCCCACCTGGATGTCTAATGGGCATCTCAAATGATGCCATTTACAATATATGCCAAACACAACTCCTGCCTTCTCCCCAAAACCTGTTCACGCCAGTCTTTCTCAGATCATCCGCCCAGTGGCTCCTGCCCAACCTAGGCACCGGCCTCAGTTCCTACCTTTTCCTTACGCCATACGACCAGTTCAGTAGGTGGATCTTACCTGTTCCACTTCCACATCCCATTTCTGTGACTGTGATCCCAGACCAAGCCCATTACAGGCATGCCTAATTTTATTGCGCTTTGCTTTCTTGTGTTTCACAGATACTGCAGTTTTTACAAGTTGAAGGTTTTGGGCAACCCTGTGCCGAGGAAGCCTATTGGCACCATTTTCCGACAGCGTCTGCTCACTTTGTGTCTCTGTCGCATTTGGGTAATTCTCGCAATATTTCAAACTTGTTCATTATAATATTTGTCGTGGTGATCTGTGACCCGTGACCTCGGATGTCACTACTGTCATTGTCTGCAGACACCGTGAACCGCGCCCATATAAGTCAGAAAACTGAATCGATAAATGTCCTGTGTGTGTTCTGTCTGCTCCCCCCGCTGGCCACTGCCTCGTCTCCGCCTCTCCTCGGGCCTCCCTGTTCCCCGAGACACAACGATACTGCAATTAGGCCAGTTAATAGCCCTACGATGGCCTCTACGTGTCCAAGTGAAAGGAAGGGTCGCACGTCTCCCACTTTCAATCAAAAGCCAGACATGAGGAAGCTCGGTGAGGAAGGCCGGTGGAAAGCCGAAACAGGCCGGAAGCGGGGCCTCTCGCACCGAACGGTCGTCCAGGTTGTGAACGCGAGAGATGAGTTCTCGGGGAAATTAAAAGGGCCACTCCAGTGAACACACGGATGGCAAGAAAGCGAAACAGCCTTATTGCTGGTTCGGAGAAGGTTTTGGTGGTCGGGATAGAAGAGCCAGCCTGCCGCAACGTTCCCGTAAGCCAAAGGCCAGTCTAGACCAAGGCCCTGGCGCTCCTTGTGAAGGCCGGGAGGTGAAGAGGCTGCCGGAGGAAAGTCTGGAGCGAGCAGGGGTTGGTTCAGGAGAGAAGCGTGTCCATAACACAGGAGTGCAAATGTAAGGTGAGGCTGCGAGTGCTCGTGCCGGAGCTGCGGCAAGTTCTCCGGGAGACCCGGCAGGACGAAGGTGGGGGCGGCTGCGCTAAACAACAGACGGGCGGTGTGGACGGAGCGGCCTTCTGCTGGAAGGAGACATGATCGAGGGTTTCCACGCTGGAGAGCAGACGTCAACGCCTGGCTCCAGAGCCCCAGGGGACAGGCTCTCTTCCCAGGGGCCGGTGCGACCGGGGACTTGACATTGATACCAGTGCCCGTTCACCGTCCTGAAAATCCTGGGGCCCTTCAGAATTATGGGAAATGTACTCCACCAGTGCCCCGTAGGCAGAATAGCACAGCCTGGATGAGCGCACGTCTGTTCACGACGTGGTTTTCCAAATATTTTAATCTCACTGTTGAGACCCAGGGCTCAGAACAAAAAAAAGAGACTCCTTTCAAAATATTAGTGCTCACTGACAACGTACTGGGTCCCCCAAGAGCTCCGATGGAGAAGGACAACGAGACGAATGCGGTTTTCCTGCCAGCTATCACAGAACCCATTCTGCAGCCCGTGCGTCAGGGGGTCGTTTTGACCTTCAAGTCTCTACATTTCATGAGGCTACAAGTGTCATCGTGATTCCTCTGAGGGATCTGGGCAAGGTAAACCGACACCCTTCTGTCAAGGATTCACCACTCTCTATGTTTATATTGAGAACATTCACGATTCACGGGAAGAGGTCACAATACCAACATTCACAAGAGTTTGGAAGAAGTTGATTCTAGCCCACACGGACAACATGGAGGGTCCAAGCCTCCCGTGGAGGAAGTCGCTGCCGATGGGGTGGAAACAGCAAGAGAACCAGAATTGCAAGCGGAGCCTGATGACGGGACTGAATGTGTGGCCGCGGTCTTGGGGGAAATCTTGAACGGAGGAGGAGTTGCTTCTTGGTGAAGTGGTTTCTTGAGGCGGAATCTGCGGCCGGTGATGATGCCGTGAAGACTGTTGACGTGACCACAAAGGATCTGGAAGATGCATACGCTTAGCTGATAGAGCCGTGGCTGTGTTTGAGAGGACGGACTCCGGTGTCGAACGATTCCTACTGTGCGTAAAATGGTGTCAAACGGCATCACGTGCCACAGAGAAATCATCCACGAAAGGAGGAGTCACTTGATGTACCAGACCAACCTCGTTGTTGACTAATTTAGGAAACTGTCACAACCACCAAGCAGCCGTGAACATCGAGGCAAGATCTTCCTCCAGCGAGAGGATTCTGACTCACTGAGAGCTCAGATGATGGTTAGCATTGTTTAGCAGTAAAATACGTTTTAACTCAAGTCTGTACATTCCTGTAGACATGAAGCTGTTAACACACCTGACACACTACAGTGTCGTGTAAACACAACTTTCATGTGCACCAGGAGACCAGTGAGCTCACTGGACTCACTTCGCTGTGGTATCTGCTTTACTGTGGTGGTCTGGAAGCGAACCCCCAAGATCTCTGAGGCATGACTGCGTTTTCCTGAGGCAAATCACGCTGCCTCCTCTCTGTTAGACTCTTGTCCTCCTACAGTTTCCAGAAAGGGAGAGAGATCATTTTAAAACATAACTTCGCCCACTGCCCTCCCCTGCTTTAAGTCTCTCAATTGCTTCCCATTTGCGTAGCATAAAATCCAAATTCCCTGCTATGCTTATGAGGCCCTCCATTGTCTCACTGGGCATTGGCATGAGTACCTCTGACCTTGGGAGTTTCAAACCTTGACTGTGGCCCCGACCCCTGGGCTCCTCCCTTTCTCCAGGATGCAGCGGGCTCTGTGGACCTCAAGACTGGGCCCTCGCTGCCTTTGATTAGAACAACTTTTTCCTGCTCCTCAAATGGCTGCCCCCCCTCCCAGGCCCCAAACTCAGCTCAGAGCTCACTTCCTCAAAAGGATTTTCTGGACCTCATCTCAGGCACGGAGATGAGCCATACACGTCTTACTTATGGATATATTTGACTTTTCACAAGTGAGACTTGATTGAGCATTTTCTGAGACCATTTAACCAGGAAAATAAATGTACTAGGAAACTTTTACACCTTATCTACTTAAGACGCTGATAAATATGTCACCATAATTCACTTTTTAGATAAAAAATATTTTTATTACTTTATTTCCACCCAGTACCTAATTTTCTGCTATTTGTAATGATCGATTTCTTTGATTCTGTTTTTTTAGGAAACTTTTTTTTACTGAAATCCACACTGAATCCAAGTATATTCCTTGATGAAGTTTCACCAAGTAAATACACCCGCCGACGAGGACTCAGATCGCAACACGGAATATTTCCTGCGCCCAGAAACCACTTCCAGTCACGACGCCCCACGGTTGGCACTAGGGCCACGGATTCATTTGGTGGGGGTTTGAACCTCATATAAATGGAATCACGCAGTGCGCGCTCTTCCGACCTGGACTTCTTTGCTCAGCACCATGTAGGTGAGACTCATGTGAACTGTTAGCAGGCGGACCTGACCTTGTCTTCTCTCTGTGTGATAATCCCTGGTGTGGATGCAGGTTCCTTACGAACATGTTCTGGCATCTGTGAACAGCTGAGTCGTATCCAGTCTGAGGCTCTAACAAATACTACTGGTAGGAACATCCCAAAGTGTGTCTTTTGGCGAACACTGGCACCCATCCCCACTGGCACGTGCCCAGGGATTGGAATCCTGGGCCTGGGGGTGTTTACATTCAGTTCAGTTCATACTTTCCTTAGTTGATTTTTTTATTGTGGTAAAATATACCTAACAGCAAATGTATCATTTTAGCCATTTTTTTAAAAAGCTTTTTTGTTTTTATTTATTATTGAGAGGCACAGAAAGAGCGTGAACATAGGAGGGACAGAGAGAGACACAGAATCCAAAGCAGGTTCCAGACTCTGAGCTGTCAGCACAGAGCCCGAATGTTGGGCTCGAACCCACAAACCACGAGATCATGACCTGAGCTGAAGTCAGAGGTTTAACCCGCTGAGCCACCCAGGTACTGCCTTTTGCCTCTGTTCGAAAACCCACATTAAAAACACATCCAAAGGGGGCACCTGGGTGTCTAAGTGGGTTAAGTTTCTGACTTCAGCTCAGGTCATGTTCCCACAGTTCGTGGGTTCTAGCCCCGAGTCAGGCTCTGTGCTGACAGCTCGGAGCTTGGAGCCTGCTTCGGATTCTGTGTCTCTCTCTCTCTCTCTCTCTCTCTCTCTCTCTCTCTCTCCTCCCCCGCTTACGCTGTGTCTCAAAATAAACAAACGTTTAAAAAAAAAAAAAAAAGGGAAATTAATCCGGCAATTCTCTCCAACTGAAAATAAGTAGTAAACTTTGGAAATATTATTGTTTGTTTCCATTAAACCTGGTTAAGTAAAATCATCAGTTGGTTTTATATAAATAAAATATTTAAACTTCAAAATATTTTTAATTTTAATATGCCTACTTTAAAATTTTTCAACGGCTTTTCACCTACTTTATTGTTCTGACAAAAAATTAAGCACAAATTTGATTTTTCCTTTTGCTTTGTGCTCCAGTATTGCTAGGCAGGGTACTGACTGGTTGCCTCTGGGTGGGAGTGGGGACTGTCTGAGGAGCATGAGAGAACTTTCTTACCGGTATCTCAGTAGGGTCTGAGTTACAAAACTGTACAGATTTGTCAAAACTCAGCAGATGTTCCCTTACAAGTAGGGCAGTTCATTGTAAGTTTTGGATCCAAAGGAAGAGACTGTGAATAACGGATGCTAGTTAATGTTGGAGGGGAATTTACTCTGAAGGCATCAAGAATAAAAATGGATTAACGGATGGTTGCCCAGATGTGATAAAAGTCGAGAAAGATGTCAACGGTACCGCTGCAAACTTCCATAATACAGTTTTGGGGCAGCTCCAGTCCTCTAGAATTTGCTGGTCCATCTGAGAGCTCCTTCCAACTGGAGTTTCTCCGGGTCGAATGACTGGGGCAGATCTGGATACAACAAACCTCCAGGGGCTCGATCAAGCCTTGGAGGAGACAAGGGGCAGAAAAGAGAATTTGGCCCCGGGCAAGGGGAGATCTGTGGTACGCACCCCAAATCGGGTGGGCCCTGCCCTCCCCCCCCCCAACCCCCTTTTGCCTCATTTTCCTTCCATTCTGTCCAGCACAGGCTGACAGAGGTGCTACTAAGGAAGTCGTGAGCCCTTTCTAGATTCCGTTTATTGCTCGCACAGACTATGGAAGGAAGAATGGCCGAAGGTGGCCAGCTCCCCGGGGCTGTTGTGCAGGGTGACACGGAAAAGAGGCCAGGTGAAAATATGGAAGCCCGGGCGGCCCGCTGCTGGGGGCCGCTTCCCTCCCTGGCCAAGCTCCTGCCCTGCCCGTCGCTTCCCACAGACAGCAGGAGGGGTGTTGTCAAGCCTTGGATCCATCTGTGGTTCGAGCCTTGCCTGAGTGGCCTATGCGGGTCCATGCGGGCTGCCAGGGCCCTCCACTTCCTTCTCGGGTTTCCTTCGTGCTCCCGCACTCCCAACACCGTACCTTCAGGGACCTCTGGAGGTGTAGACGGGGCACCCAACCTGGCTCTGAGGAAAACACAAATACCTGGTAAGCTTGAGAAAAGATGCCCCACGTCACTCAGGAAATGGGAGTGAGAAACAATCAGATGCCTTGGAAAGGCTTACAGGGAGCGATGCAGACAATCGCTTTGAGCTTTTTTTATTTTTGATGTCTATTTCTTTTGAGACAGAGAGACAGAGCGTGCATGCGTGAGCACAAGCATGGGAGGGGGAGAGAGAGAGAGAGAGAGAGAGACAGAGAGAGAGACAGAGAGAGAGAGAATCCCAAGCAGGCTCAGAGCTGCCAGCACAGAGCCCATGCGGGGCTCGATCTGCTGAACGGAGAGATCATGACCTGAGCTGAGCTGAAGAGTCTCATGTCTAACCGACAGAGCCACCCAGGTGCCCGGACAGAAAACTTTTTAAATTAGTGCACCTCTGGGGCACCTGGCGGCTCCATTGGTTAAGGGTCTGACTCCTGGTTTCGGCTCAGGTCATGATCTCACGGTTTCGTGAGTTCAAGCCCCGAGTCGGGCTCTGTGCTGGCAGCGGCCGATCCTGCTTGGGATTCTCTCTCTGCCCCTCCCCCCGCTCATGCTGTGTCTCTCTCAAAAATAAATAAACTTTAAAAAAACTATCTAAAAACAAACTTTTGAAAATTAGCGTACCTGTTGCCACTGCACATAACTCTCTAGGCCCTGGTGACCTCAAGGCGTACACTTTCAGAACTTAAGGACTGTGTTATCCCAATGCTATTTAAGCTGTTCCAGAACACACAGGAATAAAAGCAAGACTCCCAGGGCGCCTGGCTGGCTCAGTCGGTGGAACCTGCAACTCTTGATCTCAGGGTTGTGGGCTCGAGCCCCATGTTGGGTGTAGAGATTACTCAAAAATAAAATCTTAAAACAAACAAACAAACAAACAAACAAACAGCAAGACTCCCAATCTTTTCAGAGGGGCAGCTTAACAGACACCCAAATCAGGAAGACCGCACATACAAAAAACCATAGAGCAATACCTCGTAGGAATTCTGATGCAAAAAAAATCCTACAAAACACTGTGGAAAAGGTAAAACTCTGCAGATAGTAAAAAAGATCGTGACTGTGAGACACTGTGGGGAGGGAGAGATGAACAGGCAGAGCACAGGATTTTTAGGGCAGTGACACTGCTCTGTGTCGTACTCTGTGGTGGATGCATGCCCGACATTTGTCCCAACCCAGAGAATGTACAGCACCTAGAGTGAACCCCAGTGTCACCTAGGGACTTTGGGGGATAATGATGGGTGGGCTCATCGACTGCAACAAACGGACCACTCGGGTGGGGGATACTGATCAGGGGGTAAGTCGTGTGTGTGTGGGAACAGGGGTACGGGGGAAATCTCTATCTTCTGCTCGGTTTTGTTATGAACTCCAAACTGCTCTAAAAAAAAAAAATCAAGTCTATTAAAAGAATCCTACATAAAATTATATACAAACCAAATTCAGCAAGACCTTGACCCCATTAAGACGATTCTACAGTTGGGTTAAAACCAGAAGCGTGGCTCATTATGGATGAATCCAATCACAAAATACTCCACATCGACAGGCAAAAGGGCAAAAATCAGAAAACATGTGATTATCTCCACAGATGCCAATGGTACCCACTAAATTCAATATTCTTCCCTTAAACTTTTTTTTTATAAAATTTTTTTGGGGTGCCTGGGTGGCTCAGTCGGTTAAGCGTCCGACTTCAGCTCAGGTCACGATCTCACGGTCCGTGAGTTCGAGCCCCGCATCGGGCTCTGGGCTGATGATGGCCCAGAGCCTGGAGCCTGCTTCCGATTCTGTGTCTCCCTCTCTCTCTGACCCTCCCCCGTTCATGCTCTGCCTCCCTCTGTCTCAAGAATAAATAAATGTTAAAAACAATTAAAATTTTTTTAATGTTTTTATTTATTTTGAGACAGAGAGAGACAGAGCATGAGCGGGGGAGGGGCAGAGAGAGAGGGAGACACAGAACCCGAAGCAGGTCCAGGCTCCGAGCTGTCAGCACAGAGCCTGAGGTGCGGCTCGAACTCACGGACCGTGAGATCATGACCTGAGCCGAAGTCGGACGCTTAACCAACTGAGCCACCCATGCGCCCCTAAACAAACTTTTTTTCATGGTAGTGAATCAGTGAAATAGGGATGTCTGCCACTAAAGGCAGTGTAGATGGGACAGGCACCTGGGTGGCTCAATTAAGCGTCCGACTTCGGCTCAGGTCATGATCTTGGGGTTTATGGGTTCCAGCCCCACATGGGGCTCTGTGCTGACGGCTCGGAGCCTGGAGCTGCTTCAGGTTCTGTGTCTCCCTCTCTCTCTGCCCCTCCCCCTGCTTGTGCTCTGTCTCTCTCTCAAGAATAAACATAAAAAAAAATAAATAAATAAAGACAGTGTAGAAAACTCCCCTCCTCTGCTGAAGGCGGAAGTGTAACACAGACAGTTTTTCAGGGCAATGATCTGACAATTTCAACGACATACCATTTGCCCGGCCACTTTAATTCTAGAAGCATGTGCAAAGTACACAGGATGTTCGCTGAGTACCGGTCTTGGAGAAACCTCGGAAACCCTCTCTACACCCTTGGTGAGGTTAATGTGGGCAAGAAGGCTCTGCCCCAGGCCACGTGGTGGGCCAGGGGGGCCCCCGTGAGGGAGGGGCTTTTCCTCTTCACTACTGTGTCCCTGGTGCCGAGGACAGTGCTTGCTTGGCACGCAGCGGGGGCATGGTCCACAGCACTGAATCGACGATCCTACTGTTGGGTTAAAAAAGTTGCAGAATCGTATGTACAGAATGGTCCCATTGGCAGAAAAAGAAAAAGACATTTTTCCCAGATATATATGCTTGCAGATGTATGGGAAGGATCAAAGAGGTCACCCAAGAAATTGTTAACCGTGGGGACTCCTGGAGAGAGGGAGGAAGGTATGGGGCCAGAAGAGAGAAGGAGGACCCAGACTGTCCGCGGCAGGCCTTCTGTAATGCTTGCCTTTTCCTGGGGGTGTGTATTGCTTTTAAAATAAAAATCGAGTTTAGGAACAGTTACTTAACCTATCTGAGCCTCAGTTTCCTCATCTGTAAAACGGAGAGTAGTAATAAATACCCCCCCAGAGGGTCACCGTGACATTTGAGGAACGGACAAGATCACGCACAGAGTCTCCCGGCACCTGCTGTTAAGGAACATATGGTATTGCTGTTATTATTGAAAGAAATACAGAAAAAAACAAGGAACGTTTTTTTCTTAAGTGTATTTATTTTGAGAGAGAGAGCGAGCACGAGAGCAAGCAGGGGAGGGAAAGGAAGAGCAGGAAAGGCAGAGAGAGAGAGAGAGAGAGAGAGAGAGAGAGAGAGAGAGAGAGAGAGACTGGGAATCCAAGCAGGCTCTGAGCTGTCAGCGCAGAGCCTGACTCAGGGCTCGCGCTCACGAACCACGAGATCATGACCTGAGCCGAAACCAAGTCAGACGTTCAACCGCTTAACCGACGGAGCCCCCCACGAGCCCCAAGGAGCATCTGTTACAAGACTGTAGGGACCCAGCTGCACCGGCCCTGGAACTGGCCCCACACATCCCACTTTCGGCCTTTGCACTTGCTACTTCCTCTCCCTGGAACGTTCCTTCTCGGGAGAGCTGCCTGCTCCTTCCTTCACATCATCCGTTCTCTGCTCAGATGAAACCTACCAGACAGGTGGTTCCTAACCAGCCTTCCTAAACCTGCACGCTGTTTCCACACCATGACTCCCTGGCCTCTCGGCCCACTTTATGTTCTTCTTGGCCGGGAACACTGCCTGCCATATCGTGTGTTTTTGGTCTGTTTCCCTCATAACAGTATGAGATTGAGAAGAAGCTTTATCTCCAGCAACGAGAATAATGCCTGACGAAGAGCAGGTATCCAACGAATACTGTGAAAGAATAAGTAAACGTTGTCTGAAATACAGCATCAAAAGAAACTTGAAAACCGCCTCTAACCAGGGTGACCAGGAAAACCCTCCCAACCTTGAAGGCAACGGGAGAGGATTGCGGGGCGGTGGGCGGCAGCCGGTCCCACCCCAGGCAAGGGGGTGGGAGCAGAGGAGAGGGGCCTGGCGGTGGGGCTCCGAGCGGACCCCTGGGAGTCATGGGCCTTCCACACTCTGCTAATCTGCAGGGTCGGGCTTTTGAAGGACCGAAGTTCAGGAGGTAAGACTGGGTGTGGTTTTCTTAAGGGCCATTCCCATTCTCCAGGTGGGAGGTAAGAACCTGAAATAAGAATGTGGCAGCAGGGACAGCGGGCACAAGGAAGATGCAAACTCATTCACTCATTCATTCATTAGCGCTGTTAACAAGGGAGAATTGATGGCTCCTGGACGCCACTTGCGTGGGGGGGGGGGGGCTGAAGGACGAGGAGGCGTCTCCCTGTCAGGGGTCTGCCCTGGGTGGTTGAGGATGGCCAGGGATCCAGAACACGACAGGAGGCGCAGGTTTCGCACGAGAGCAGAGCTCAGGTTGCACTTGCTGTGTCTTTAGAACCTGTGGGGTGTCGAAAGGCAACAGCCAGGGGCATCTGGATAAACCCCACGAGAGCTCTAGAGAGCCCAGCTGGGCCGAAAGTCAAGTGTGGACTCAGCCACACAGGAGGGAACGCCACAGGGATCATACGGATTGTAGTCTGGAGATAAGCGGGCTACAGAAAGGGACACAGGGACACAGGACACGGCGACACTTAAAGGGTGGGCTGACAGCCGTCTCGGATCTGAGAAGGAAGGGTTGAAGAGGAAGCAAGAACACGAGACCCGGCCGGGGGTTTTAAAAAGCATGAGGTTACTGTCAGTGTCAAATGCTGCAATATTTAGGCAGAAGAAAACTAAAGGGTCTACTTGGCAGTAAGGACTTCCTCGGAGACTTCTAGAAGTTTCCAGTACAGTGATGGGAAATGTAGGCCGGGGTGAAATTTTGTGATAAGCAAGCAGGTGAGGAAGTGAAGAAAATGAGAACAGTCAAGAAACTGGACTGTGAAGGAAACTAGGACAGTGATTACGTCCCAGCGAGGTCTAACAAGTTCGGCTGGAGAGAGTGGGTAAGACAGAAGGTAGGAGCTTAAGGTTTGGGAGCCAGCTCGACGGTGAGGGGTGACAAGGTCCACGGAATGCTTATTGACTTGGATGTCTAAGGGCACGTAGCAGATTTCCGAGGTCAAGGCGGGGCAGGATCCGGAGGGGCAAGAAGACGGTACCCCTAGTGTCATCTGCTGATGGCAGATGGACAGCGAGGCAACGACAACGACGCAGCAGCGCAGGTCTAGCCGGGTAAGATGCCTGGGTGCTCCCACGACAATCCAGGAGGCCTCTCGGTCACCAGTTTAAAACCTTATCGCTTCTAGACCCATCTAAACCCAAGGACAGGCATTAATAATCTGATAAGCTCTGGGCTTCCCCGGTTGCTCTCAAAAGCGATGCGACTGTCTACCTCTGGGCAGTGTGCGGTGGCCAGTGGCTCGCTGTGGGCTCTCGGCCGTCTTTAGAGAATGCAAGGGTCCACGGCAGCAGGGGTCCGGTCAGTGTGTCTCGGACCGCAGCACACAACAGGTGCTCGCTCAGCGCAGGCGGAGAGTGAAGGCTGCGCGTGGCCGGGGCTCGGTCTCCGGCACCGTCAGCAAGGCTCGTGTCCCCCTCCTCAACAAACCTGCTTCCGTTCCACAGCCTGGAACGACCCCCTCCTTCTCGACCCCCGTCGCTGGTGGCTTTGACTGCTCTTTCAATACCCCCGGCCTCCCGGGACCCGCGGCGGTCGGCGACCCCGGGCGGCGGCCCGCGCAGCGACTGCCCGGCCGGCCGAGACGCCCTTGGCCTTCGCGTCCACACGCGGACGCGCGGCTCGAGCTGCGGGGCGCCGGCGCCTGCCTCGCGTCCTCTCTTGGTGCCAGGGCTGCCGAAAGGACGGCACTCCGGACGCGACCGGCCACACGGCCACTTACCCGACGGCGCGAGGATCCTGGCCGGCACCTGGCTCGGGACGCTCGCCGAGGGGGGCGTGGCCTCCGGGCCCGCAGGCCTCTGGGAGTCGCGGTCCCGGCTCAGCCTGCAGCGGCCTCGCGGAAGGGGAAGTGGAAAGATGAGAACTACATCTCCCAGGAGGCTCAGCGGCTCGCCTCGGGCGGGGCGGGGCGGGGGCGGGGCGGGGGCGGGGCCAAGGCCTCGGCTCCCAGGCCCAGCGAAGAAAGCCTCAAGAAAGCCTGGGAAAAGTCTCCGGAGTTCCTCCTAGTCGGTGCGGCGCGTCCGAGAGCTGCGCGCCGTGTGAGTCGGGCCCGAGACCCCTGGAGCTCCGCTCGCTCATTCCCAAATCCGGCCGCTTTCCCCCGCGCTCGGCGCTGAGCGAGACTGGCCGCACCCCCGCTCTCAGGTTGCTCTCCAAGGCCCGAGGCCAGAGCAGAACTGCGGGAGGGAGGATCCGCGGAGGCAGCTGGTCTCTGGTCCGGCCTTGAAGGCCGCTGCCAGACGCCCCACGTGGGAGTGGGGAGGCGAGTTAGGCCTGCTGCCCAGGTCCAGGTTAAAGGTGAGATGAGGGTGCCTAGCCCTCTGCCGGTGGAAAGATGACGCTTGGAAACTGGAGTTTGGAGTAGGGCTCATGCACTTGAGTGGAGGGGAGGTGACAGGAAAAGAGTGTGGCTTGTGTAGGTTACCTTCCGTAGTCAATGGGGTGCCGTGAAGGGGCAACGACTGGCGCAGTGACGGTGCGTTTGGGGCTGAGAGTCGGCTGTGCTCTGGCTATGGTTTGTGATGCGCATCCGACGTCTGAGTGGAGGTGTTGAGCGGACCTGAGGATAGAGGGGCCGACAAGGACAGAGATGGGCTTTGCACCACGGGCACACGATGGAACAAGCCAAATGGGCCAGGGCAGGGGTGACAGGGAAGGGCACAGAGTCCTGAACGTGTATGCCCTCATTCAGAGGTTGGTCAGCAAAGGAGACTGAGGATGGCCAGTGACAGCCTGAAGGATTGGGGGTTTTTGAAGTGGACTTTCCGGAGGGAGGGAGTGATAACCCAGGAGGAGTGCTTCACTGGAAGAAGGTTGAGCAAGTTGAGACTTGAGACAGAATCCCCGGGTCTGGAAACGGTCGCTGGAGGTCTTGGCCAGGGCAGGTTCCTTGGAGCGGAGGGGAAGAACGGCCTGACTGCAGAGGAGGGAAGGGGAGTGAGGTGCAGAAGTGGGGACAGCTAGTGTAAACAGTGCTTTTTAGGAATGTTGCTTTAGAGCAGAAAAATGAGGCAGAGCCTGACCAGGGATGGCAGGTCCAGGGGGATTGTGTCTCCTCTTTCTCCAGACGGAGAGATTACAGCTTCGTAGAATGATCCAGAGGGAGGAGGGATTAGTGATGCAGCAGAGCCCCTGAGAGGTCGGAGGGGACCGAATCCAACGGCTGTGTGGAAGGCTGGCACCACACCGTGTCTTGATGGAAGGTAGAATGCCTGGGCAGAATAATGGTCCCCCAAATATGTCTGTGTCGTCATTCCCAGAAACTGTGAGTGTGTCACCTTACATGGCAAAAGAGGTGTTGCAAACCTGATTAAGGATTGAGGGCCCTGAGACAGGGCGAGTCTCCTGGATTGTCCAGGTGGGCCCAAATATCATCATGAGGTTCCTTAAAAGCAGAAGGAAGAGGGAGGCACAAAGGTAGATGCATTGTTACTGGCTTAGAAGCTGGAGGAGGGGGGCCACCAGCCAAAGAATGTCGGTGGCCTCTGAAGCAGGAAAAGGAAAGGAAACGGATTCACTCTCGAGCCCCCAGAGGGGACGTAGCTGTTCTGAAAGCACTAGCCTCTTCTTAGGCCTAGTGAGTCCAGGGCCTCTGGGAGAATGAGACAAGTGTGCGTAGGAGAGGAAGGAGTTGATGCTTCAAAAGAGTCCCCCCCCCCCCCATGGCATCAGAGCTCATCACAGTGGCCTTTGTGTGCTGCTAGAAGCCACATGCAACAGAGGTTTTGCAGGGGGACCTGCTCTCCATCTGTGTCTCTGTGGACACCTCCTATGTCAGTTTGTCTGGGACAGCTAAAATAATCCCAGGAATAATGTTCCCATCCCTCTTGAGACCTCTCGTACGGACCTGCCTCTCCGACCCCATCCCACCAACTCGTCCCCAGTCGCTAAAAATAAGGTGCATCTAAACTGTGCAGCCACTCTGGAAAACAGTATGGAGGTTCCTCAAAAAAGTAAAGACAGAACGACCCTACGACCTAGGAATTGCACTACTAAGTGTTTATCGAAGGGATACAGGTATGCTGTTTGGAAGGGATACGTGCACCCTGATGCTTCTACCAGTGCTATCAACAGCAGCCAAAGTATGGAAAGAGCCCAAATGTCCATCGATGGGTGAATGGATACAGAAGATGTGGTATTATATGCAATGGAGTATTACTCGGCAATCAAAAAGAATGAAATCTTGCCGTTTGCAACTACATGAGTGGAACTGGAGGGTATTACGTTAAGTGAAATTAGTCATTCAGAGAAAGACAAAAATCGTATGAGTTCAAATGATATAAAAACAGGGAGGGGGACAAAGCCTAAGAGACTCTTAAATACGGAGAACAAAAGAGGGTTACGGGAGGGGTTGTGGGAGGGGGGATGGGCTAAATGGGTAAGGAGCACTAAGGACTGTACTCCTGAAATCATTGTTGCGCTGTGTGCTAACTTGGATGTAAATTTTTAAAAAATAAGTATTTGTATAAAAATAAGGTGCATCTGGTTATGTAGGCTAGTAGCTGAGATCTGAGATTGAACCAGAGGGGAGCCAATGTGAACCCCCCTCCTGGTGGGCAGGACCTGTTGGGGGGCTTTTGTAAAAGGGCTGTTGAGAAAGATGTTCTTGAAGCAAAGGCGCACAACCAGAGAGGAGACCCAGGTGACAATCCTGAGTCGTCACACCTCAGCCCCAGTCTGGGCACTGGCAACCCAAGCTGCTTTGGGCCCTGGAGCAGGAGACGACTGAGTTGGGCTACCTGTGGAGTGACTGTCAACTGACCATGTGCTATCTGCAGGCCCTGTCCCAGCCCAGGAGGGCAAGCTCCCCATTCCCCAACTGCCCATCCCATCGCCCTCCTTCCAAGGCTCCTGGCCTCTTGGGCGCAGTTTGATCTTCAGCCCAAGCTGCCCAGAGCCATGGCGCTTAGACTTCAAGCCACGCACCGGGAGGGTCTCCGTGTCCCTGAACTGCCTGGCACTGGGGGCAGCTCCCTCTAGTCAGGAAGAGGGACAACCCACAACCTAACACGGGGAGACTGATGTCTGCATCATGCTCATGGGCCCTGACACAGGTCTTTGAAAGAAACTTCCAAACCCCATGGCTAGGAAGTAGGAATGAGTTTATCCCTAGGAGCTCGTGTACCAGAGAATGGTCCCAGGACAGGCTGTTTCCCTGGTGCTTAGTTACTCTGGAGACAAACCCCATGCCGGCGGTATCCATCTCCCAGGGAGGTGGACACACCATCCACTGTGAGAAGTGTCGCACGGGGGTCTCGTCTCCACCACCATTCTACTCCTCACTTTGCTGACAAAGGGTGAGAGGTTTTAGAAACATCCACCACCATTAGATACAAGAAAAATGCCCTTCCTTAGTTTAGTATTTACACATTAGACTCAGTAAAGACACCACATCAGTCATACTTCTGAAGGGTAACTAACTCTCCCAAATCCTTTATTTAATAAAACTGGAACATTTGTTGGTAACCTAATACACAAACTCCAAGTGTGCTAAATGCAAGGCGTTCAGGGAGGCTTTGCTTCTGTCTGGCAGAGGACTGGCAATGCTGGGGAATGCACCTGCCTCCTGTGTCCTGAATGAATGCACCGTGTCCTGAATGAAGTGGCAAGTTCAAGCTTCTGCTCAGGCCAGGGCCGCCAGGGTCCGAGGTCTCCCTCTGTCCCCGACACTAGTGCCCGGCACGGAGGAGGGTTTCAGCACTTCTGCCCCCAGATCCACACAGTACCTGGGAAGCCTGGGGCACCTGCGGTCCCGGAGAACCGCGGTAGCTCTGTAGGATTCTTCCTGCGGCCTGCAGCTCCCACCCTCCACCCAACCCAGGGCTGGGGGTCCCCAAGAGATACTCGCTTAAGAAACAGGGCTAGGGGCCTGAATGGGCTGGTCATCCTGGACTGCCCTGCAACCCACTCACTGGAGGAAGAGGGCAGGCAGATCTGGGAGACATTCAGGCCCCTGCCCCCACCACCTCTGTCCCCAGGGAGGCTGGAACAGAGCAAGGGAAGGCCACACCCACCCTTGCAAACCTGGGGCTGGCGTTAGTCACCAAGGCCTCCAGACGCTCTGGGCTATGCGAGCAGCGGTCAGGCTGCCCAGGGCTGCTGGCACCAAGTCTGGCCCTTCGGCAGGCGCTCGGCTCAGTTCAGCGTCGGGGGCCTCCTCCAGGTCGGAGCACAGGTCGTCCCCGGGGCCCGGGGGACTGGGCAGAGGGGACCCCAAGACCCCTCCCGTGGGCCAGCCGCTTCGCCCAGGGGCTCCCGGAGACCCGGCCAGGGCGTCCCCCAGCAGATCCCGGAAGCTGCTGCCCTCGCGCAGAGGCATGGACTCGAGCAGGTGGTTGAGGAGTTCTGCGGCGACGGTGGCATCGATGGCCTGGCACGTGGACACGAACGTGTGCACCTCGTGCATGCACTGGATGTAGCCGGCCGCGAAGCGCTCGCTTGCTTCCGCCTGCAGCTGCTCGCGCTCTGCACCCGGGAGTGGGAGGGAGAGAGCGGCGCCCCGTCCGGTAAGCAGCGACTGCGGTGGCCAGGCCCGTCCCAGCCCGCGGGGACAGGGCTCACCCAGGAGACCCGGAGGAGCCCCGGGCGCGGGCTGTACCGGGGCGCCGGGCGGGGAAGACTCCATTCCGAGGCGGGGGCGGGCCGGGCGAACCCGCCCCGCCCGCGCGCCCCACCGCCACTCACCGCGCGCCCGGCCCCGCAGCGTGCCCTGCACGCGCCGCACCGTCAGCTCCAGCACCTCGGCGTTCTCCAGCTTGGCTTGCACCTGCGCGGGCGGGAGCGCCGGGGGGCGTGTGGGGGGCCGGTGAG